ATTATTAAAAATGAAAGAATCTTAAAATGGGTTCTATGACAAATTGGCAACCCAAGGGAAAAAATGTGTCAACTAAAAGACGTGAAGCACCATTTGTCTAGAAATGAAGGAAGAGTTGTTGATCTAACACGATGAGAATTGACTAGTTTTCGAACAAAAACTCAAAGCTCCAGCCACATTTGTCGGAACAGTTGAAGAGTTGATTTGGTTGAAAGCAGCAAACGTGCACAGACAGGTGACACGCTGTGTTCACTGGTGTCTTGTATATTTTATCTGAATAAAGTCAAAGAAAGCTGTTAGTCTTTGCTCAGAGCACTGATAGTAGATCAAGCATGAAAAGTAAATTATATTGTGTTCAGAAAATCAGGCAGAAAAGATCCTGTACATAAGTTGATTAGACTAAATAGGCCTATATTTCCTTTTTTAATGAATTTACGTTTGTTTGCGGTCTTTTAGAGCTGGAAGCAGCCCTGCTGAAAGAACTGGACCCTCCACTCTATGCTCATCTGGTCAAAGACAATATGGAGAGTTTCACATTCTGCCACAGGTAGATCTTTAACATTGTTCTGTATATTTTTAAGTGGGGAGATTATGCAAAATCAAATTTTTTAAGCATTATATCGCGTTATAATGCCATTACCTCACCAAAAACATCCCCAGAGTGTTGCTTTGACTCATTCATGCATGTTTGAGAAATCCTTGACTCTCCCGTGGCCATGTGGAGCTGCCTAAACACTTGCTGGTACAAAGCATCTCCTATTTACCCAAAGCTTCTATCTGGAGCTCAGTTAGCTCCTGTCCCTCTGAGCACCCCTCTCCCAAATCATTGTCATGAAGACGTGCTGAAGTGGGAGTGTCTGAAACGGTAGGAGGTTCCTAAGGAGACAGAGGCCAATTTCTAGGCGTTTAAATAGAGTATGATGCATAAAAATGCATAATACCCCCTCCCCCTTTTTTTAAATTCAGATGATTTGTGAGTTTAGTTCTTTCAGTCCGTGCGTGTCGACCCTGGTCTCAGGTGGCTGCTCCTGGGCTTTCAGAGGGAGTTTGAACACAGCGATGCCCTGCGTTTGTTCGAGATCCTGAGTTGCGACCACCTGGAGCTCATTTCGCAACAAGTTGACCGAGCTCGCCATCAGGAGAGGCTGGCACAGAAATACTGCACAGGTGAACCTCCAAAGTGGGGGCGTGGGGGGGGGGGGGGGGGGGGTTGTAATAAAGCTCTGACTGATTATCATCTGTGTGAAAATGCCTCACGCTGATTTGTCTTCAGAGAACAGGTCGAAGTCAGAGCTGCCGGCGTTCAACACCGACTTCACCTTTGAGCTTTTCATCTGCGCGGCCATCCTGTTGGACAACAGAGAGTCTCTGCTGCAGTGCCACGATGACGTCCAGCTCATCCAGTTTACCAGCAGGTTGTCACAGAACACGTCGCAGAACAGTGGTTCCTGAGCAGGGTGCTCCTTGTTGCATCAACAGAAGAGCTGCGACCGCCTTCCCCACTCAGACATACGCAGAGTACACTTACATGTGTACATGCATGAATGACAAAATAATTACCGTATTTATTCTAGTATAATATGAAAAATTATATCCATAAAGTCATCCGTATACTCGGATCAATATTTTTGCTTATGTATTTTAACTGAAACATCGGCCTCATTCACAAAATTCCAGAGTCTGGAAATGAGACCACGTTGTAAAAAGCAGTTGAAGCGAGCTTACCTCTGACACTCCTTCATGCCTCAGAGCGAGATAGTAACAGATCCAAGCAGGCATCATGATGTAAAAAAAAAAAGAAAAAAGCAGTCCCGCACCTTAGTAATGATAACGAACTAATGGCATTAATGTGCGACCAAGCTGCTCCTGGAACAACAACAAACACATGGTCGGCTGTAATGGCTGCTGTCTACCAGTGTTCTGTAAAAGTTGGTCTACCTTAAAAAAGTTTCCCCACCAGAGGGGGCGCTTGCGAGACACAGAGGATGAGATTGTTGTTGAGTGGGATTCTGATGCCTTTATTAAGAGGAGGAATACCAGAAACCTTTTGATGATACAGATGATGGTGAGCCTGATTTTGAAAGCTTTTGATTCAGCTTCATCCACACTTAGAGCCACATAGCTCTGTTTGTTATATCACACCAGTTAAGAAATGAGCATTGATAAAAAAAAAAAACACATTGATACATTTTGTTGTAGTTACTGTTATACATTTGTTGTTGTTTACCTTTTAGTACATATGTTGTTAAAATAAAAAAACTGATAAAACAGTCAAATGATCATTTTACTGATATGTATAAAGACTTCAAAGGCTGAAAAATCCTGAAGTCCAAATGAAATTAGAGGTAGTATGAGAATTTAATTTTTTATGCTTTTTAAGCTAAAAATAGGAGGGGTCGTATAATCCATGAGATCGTATTATCCACGAATAACTACGGTAAATATTAGGTTTTAGGGAAAAAAATATTTTTTTTGTAAAAATAAACAACCTTATTTATCATTCATACCTTTGTCCAGGGTTGAGATGTCAGAGTGTTTGCAGCAGCTGGTTGCGTTCTTTAAAAAAGAAAATTGTATTTGGCGTGTGCGTAAAACTACCACTGACTAATATTCGGCACCTTGCAATGACTGTGATCAGTGCTACGTGATGGTGACGTATTTTTGTGAACGATGCATTCTCACCAAGCTTGCATGTGAGCCTATTTCATAACAACGGCAGAAGGCGGTGCAGAGCTGCTAACTCTGACACCAGCACTACAAACTTGTTTAGTCACCTGAAACACCGACATAAGCTGGAGTATGAGGAAAGCCAGAAAATGCRGACCAAGGTAACGTCAGCTGCAGCAAACTCTCCTCCAGCAAACAGTGGAAACAGTCCACAGTGCTCTCAGTCAATCTGTCCGTTACAAGCAGCAAAGTGTGTGCGTGAAGGAGATAATGTAAGCTGTGCATGTTAAAGTGAAGAAGTTAGTTTGACTGATGATTAGGCGTGTCCCAAGACCAGTTTCACTCAAACCGGTACAAGTATTTTAGTTTGGGGTACTTGCAGATACCGAGTACTTACTGAGTTAGAACTTAAACATTACACAGTAACTTTAAAGTGCCTGTGACATGCATATCCTTCAAATACAAAAAGTCAAAGAAAACATCTTTATATTTAAGAAAGTTGGAATAATACATACGATTTAACCCATTTTGTCCTTTAACTGGCATATTTTCTTTTGAACTTGGCTCAGCCAAATTGAAACAGGAAGTGACATCAAAGGGGAACTCTTTACCAAAGAAAACTCTCTGGTCTTTGTTTACTGAAACAATATTATTTGAAGTCAGACTCTTCTTCATCTCTTTCTGATAGTGGCTCAAAATAATCTAAAGAAACATCAGATTCTTCTCTACAGTCTGGGTTGTTGGCTGTTGTAGCAACGCTCTGTTCACATGCAGATATTCCCCTTTGACATCATTTCCTGTTACTTCACAGGCAAATACTGTATCTCAGCAACTGTTCATCTCAGTGACATGAAATTTCTTTTGCAATATTTTATCAGTGTCCTCTTTCTAAAAATGCATTCATATGTATTACAAAAATTTGACATCACAGGCACTTTAAAAACACTTTTAATTTAGAACAGTGTAACTCTCCTTCCTTATAGGCCTACAGGCCCTCTGACTGGATCAAATGCACAGCTTGATCAATACTGTTGAAACTTATGACAGTGTTGTCTATCTCTGAAGATGGAATAAAATAAATCTACTGGAAGACATTTTTAGACATACATGTACTATAATGTTAAATGTATAGCAATTTATGCATAACAAAAGTTTCACAAGTCGGCACAAGTTGCCTAAAACATTAGTGTGACAGATTCGAACTTTAGCGCCCCCTATAGGCGAGGACATCCCTCAGGTTGGGAACCGCTGTTCCACAAGATGTATTTATGTCACTACTAAAGGATTTCAATGCCTTAACAAAACCTYCGCTCTGTGCTCAGCCTCCAGGGATCACTGGACCTGAACGACACGCTGAAGAAAGCAGAGAACCATTTCTACAACTACTGCAAGCGATGTGCCTGGGACTATGCTGCTCGCTCTGCAGCGCTCTGTCACAGACAGGAAGACTTCTTCTATCACCTCCGGAGTTTATTTGTTTTAAAGTAACGCCATTAGCTCCATGGCAAAGACGTTCTGAGAGAAATAGTCTGACGGCAGCTGGAACTTGAAAGTAACAAGATATCATTCCTTTGTAGCAAGATGATGCAAACAAAAATACACTTCCTTATTATAAATGTACAGTATTTATTCTATGAACACTATCTAATAAAGCTGTAAGTTATTATTTGTTCTTTTTCTTTAAAAAAAATCTTGAATTTCGTATATATTTTTTTATTCTCAAATGAGCTTCAACTGATGAGGTTGTACAATGTTTAAACAGGATACGGATACGGTCTCACAACAGCTGCTGTTAAAAAAAAAACCCTGCAGTTATATTTAAAGACCAGATGGCACACATGCCAGAGAGTTCTGTGGAACAGGAATAGAGTGGCTCTGACCAGAGACCTTTAAAGAGAAGGGAAATACACACACATACACACACATTTTATA